CAGTAATGGAATTGTAATTTGTTTTATTGATTTGATAATGACATTACTATTTATATCATCAAACCCTAAACTTTTATTGGGTTTTAATAAAGAGACTGCGTCTAGTAATTCTTTTTCTGTAAGTTTATAATTAGACATAACATTAAGGTTGGTTGAGGTTAAGTACGAACTAAAGTGTGATTGAGTAGTTGCTATATTAGATGATAAAGTAGGACCTATATTTACAAAAAACTGGTTAAGTGTTTCAGCGACTAAGGATTTATTTACAATTTGTTTGTTACTAAATTTAAGATTTAGAGGAAGTAAATTTCTGTATAAGCTTTTTTTTTCAATTACCTCCTTAATAATATGCCAAGTTTTTTTAGAATCATTTTTGTGCTTTATTAATTGTTCAGAATAGTAACGTTTCTTTGAGCGTTTTAAGATTGACTCAAATAGCCGTTTATAGTTTTTATAGGTAGTTTCATTTTTAAGAGTTCTTTTTTTAAGAAACTTGTTATATAAACGTTGTTTTTTTTTTTGAAGATTTAAGAATGCCCTTCGTGATCCAAGGGTTTAAAAGTGTTTTTGTTTTGATTACTTTAGTAACTTCTGGGAATGCCTTGTTATAAAGATTAAGAAACTCTGTTAGAAAAACATCATACGCTTTATTGGCGTTTAGATTTAGTTTTAGGGTGTCCCAGTTAACACAGGATAGAAGCTTATAAAAATGACTAATAGAATTGTCGGTTATTAAACGTGTTTTAATTATTTTTTCCCGTTCATTTTGGGCATTATATATGCATTTTTGCGATAGGATAAAAATCGGAAAGTGATCAGACACGTCAGTTTTAAATATTCCTGTTCTTATATTTTTATTTATAAATTCATTTGTTATAATTTGATCTAGGGATGTTGAACTTTCCTTAGTTATTCGCGTTGGTTTATTGATTAGTGGAATATAGCTATTTTGAAAAATGGTGTTAAAAAAGTTTTTAATATATATATTTTTTTCATAATCTAATATATTGAGATTGATATCACCAATAAAATATACAGCTTTATTCATAGACGATTTATTTTTAATTATTTTTTTAATGTGGTTTTCAAATATCTTAATGCTTCCTGAAGGCGGTCTGTATAAACCATGAATGACGATATTTTTTGAGGTTTTGTTAATAATTTCAATACATAACGATTCATAATCGTTAGTAGTTGAACTTAAATTTGGTTTAACTTTGAATAATATTGAGTTTTTTATGTATATACACAAACCCCCACCTTCCTTATTAGATGCTCTAACTTGATGAATTACTTTATAATTAGGTAATTGAAAATTAGAATTGTTTTCAATGTTTTTATCTTTACACCATGTCTCACTTAGACAAATTATTTGAAATTTAATGCCAATTTTATATAAAAGTTGTTTTAATGACTCAAAATTTTTTTGAATACTTCTAATATTAATATGAAGCATTGAAAAATAGTTATCCTCCATTCCATTAGCAATTTTTTTAGAATTCGGGTCATAATATAAAGGGTTAATATTTTTAATTATTTCATCATTATTATAAAAATTAATATCAGGATCCGAATAGTTGTTTAATAGTATTGACTTTTTTGATACAAATGAATTAAAATTTATGTTTGTTAAAACAGTTTCATCAGCCATTTTAAATCAGAAATAACTTAAAGCAATATTAAAATTCAAAAAAGTAATATAAAAACGTAAGAAAATCATTTATCATTATTTTTTTTTATAAATTCTCTAACAATAAGCTTATCGTATATAACAACGGAATACTTACCATTTATCCTGTGCAATTTGCTTTCTTCAAGAAGTTTCTTTCTTATTGTGGAAGTTTCCAGCGAAAAATCCTCGTTGATATAAATTCCGGATCCTTTCAGTTTATTGGCATTTTTTAGGATTTTTACTTTGTCTTTATGGTTAAGTAACTTAATTACAATTGTTCTTGGATTTTTTTTTTCAATAATGCCAGTTCTATGCGCTCTTTCTATGATTACCCCATTTACATTGAGATTATCTTCAAAAATGTTTATTATTATTTTTTCCGTATCGTCCCAACTTTCGTTGTCATTTTCTTTAACTTCTTCAGTTCGAAGATTATTTCGCTTTTGTCGATCTTCCAGCTGTCTAAATTTATTTTTTTCATTCTCACCTATATTTGCATTCGATGACTTTTTTTTTTCCAACTCGCTCATTTTTTTGTCAGTGCAATCTTGATAAAATGTTAGACTTTCCTCAATGTCTTTTTGTGTTTCTTCAAACTTTATCAACTGCTTGTTAGTTTTATTTTGATCGGCATTTCGGTTTACGTTATCTTTTTTTAACATTTCACAAGTTTCTTTTAATGTACTAATTTCTTTCAGCAATCCATCGATTCGATCATTAGTCAGTTTTAAATTTGCACTTATTAACGATAGTATATCATTTTGTTGTTTTTGGAACATTTCTTGAAATATTTCCCTAACTAATTTTATCGAGACGTCAGTGATTTGTTTTGAACTCATTTTCAATCTCAAGTTAAAATTTCCAGAATATTTTCCTCATTTGCGAATTTCTTGTACATTTCACCAAAATAATAGTACACCAAAGAAAATGGAGCATCATCATTTTCAAATTTTCCAATGATGTTGGAAGGATATTCGATATCTTTCACAAGTTTTGCTAAACTATCCCAAAAACCATTTGATTTAATTAGCGTCAAAACAGTTGCCAAATTCGATTTTGGAGCAATTTCATTTAAAGATGCATTTTCCTTATCCGCAAGTTGAACTAAAACATACTTTGCCATACAAAGGTTATTCATTGAAATGAAATGACAGAGCCATCGAGTCGAAACAAGCATTGTAAGTGAGCGATGAATATTAACTGCAATTTTAATTTCATCAAAGTTTGCTTTAACAATGTGATGATTTTTCATAAACTTGATAACTTTTTCAACATCTTTGATGGTCTTTGAACAGTACTCAAAATGTCCTTAACGAGAATATTCATACCGTGTGCTGTACAGTCATACGTCGAGATGTGTGGAAATTTTCTTTAATTAAATTCCAAGCAGCTTTCATGACTGGAGCGTTGTCAGTGATAATGCTTCTAAACTTTTGTGGACCAAGAGTTTCGATTACTTCGAGAACTTCTTCCAATGTAGCGGAGCATTCTGCGTACTTTTTATCAAGAAGCAAACCTGACAGCGTTTTCGCGCACCGTATTGATGATGCATACAATGAATTAAGTGCTTTGATCAAATCCTTAAAAGCTTCAGATTCAACGAGACGAAGAGATATTTCAGTTTGGAAAAAGAAGTTTGCTAATTTCATATCGATTTCTTTTTTAAATTTTCCAGGATTCATCACATTGTCGACTACTTTGTAAGTTTCAGCTAAGAATATAATGTCGACGTCGAATTAAGTTGATTAATGATTCGGCTTTTTATTTTGCAAATAATCATTTCTCATCTTCACTAGCGTTTGGGCATGATGCTCGTTTATGTGCTGCGACGCGATTTTTTGACCATCGAACTGTCTTTTGGAAGGCAATGCAAGTTCCAGTTCTCTTTACTGTATCAAGTTTTGAAAATATCTATTTATTGTAAAATTTTCCATTGTATTTCTGTTTGCTGAAAAACGTCTGCTTAAACTATAAACTTTTGAGTTTTTTATTGGTTTCAAAGGCACATTAATTTTAAATTTCATTAAAACTAGTATTAAAACTGCGCATAATTATGCGACTGTGTGCGTACAATTTATCGGCGAATATTGCGCATACATATTTTGCCGAACCCTAAAAATATACAAAAGTTCTTAAAAAATTTCCCTTTCAGCTAATGTTTTTTTAAAATCCAAATTCGGCTTTTAGTTAAATTTGGTCTACGCATATGTTTTAAATTCTTCTTTCATTTAAATTCTAGTCTTAAAAAGACGACTTAGCCGGTCCTTACTCTCAATCCCGTTTACTTTAAAATAATGGTACTCATTACATACTTCTAATGATTTAATATACAAATATGTAATTTGTATATTAAATCTAATTTGTATTTCAAATATATATATATATATATATATATATATATATATATATATATATATATATATATATATATATATATATATATATATATATATATGGGGTTGTCTATTAATTACGTCAACAAAATATGGGGGAGGGGGTCTGAACTTTTTGACAATTGTTGACACGGGGGAGGGGGGGAGGTCAATTAAAGTTAACGTCGACAATTACGGAAACAACGGAAAATTAGGCTGAGTTTGTAATGTAGTTTCTTTGTATAGGAGGGGGGGAGGGGGTAATTGAAAGTTGACGTATTTTTATAGGGGAAGGGGATCTCTGGAAATTTGACAAATTGTTGACAAGGGGTCGGGGGAAGGTAAAAATTTCAAAAAATTTGTTGACGCTATTAATTGACAGCCCCTATATATATATATATATATATATATATATATATATATATATATATATATATATATATATATATATATATATATATATATATATATATATATATATATATATATATATATATATATATATATATATATATATATATATATATATATATATATATATAATAGATGTCTAATTTGCGGGATTTTATTGGCTCCGAAAATTGAAGCCGCTTTTTTTGTTAATAAATTTAATCTGCCATTTGTAAAAGGGTCAAATAATTTTACCTAATGTTTTGGAAACTATAATTAGGGAAAAAAGCTGCTTCACTTTTTGGGTCGATGTTAGTTTATATAATATATCATTGGTCCACACATTACCACAAAGCGGCTTGTTGTGACCTAGTAAAAGAAAACTTTTAAAGTAAAGAAAAATTATAACACCCTGACAATTTTTGAGTTTACATAATCAAGTTTAATCAACACTTTAAGCATTAATACTAGCAATGCAAAATTGTTTAATGGTTATCGTACAAATTCACTAATTTGCTCATTATTGCCATACTGTGTCAGATCAAAATAAAAAAAAAAGTTTATCTCCTACTGATTATTTTAACATAAAATTAACTTTACAATATGAATTGCGCAAACACGCACACAAAATACAGTCATGCCAAATGGTAAATAACAAAATATGGTAAACAACATGCTGCACGTGATCAGGGCCGCCCCGAGGGGAGAGCGGAGTAAGAAGTGTCTAATACGCCTAGGAAATTATTTAGTCGGCAAATTTGGACACTGGCGTGGGCAAAATGGGATCTGTAGTAGAGAGTCGGCAAATGAGAGCCAACAAGGACTTTTTTTTTTTAAAAAAAAAAGATCTTAGTCAGCAAAAAACAACTACTAGGCCTTACTTGACAAAAAACGACAGATACGTCACTTTCTTTAAGATCACTTCAGGACGGCCCTGTTCGAGATAAACAAATTTGTACTTTTTATATAGTATATAATTTTACTAACGATGGAAAAAAAAAATTTATAATTTATTATTATTATTACTATTGCTGTTACTTATTATTATTTTAAATAAAAAATAACTCAAGCACTATACTATAACTTTGACTAGAACTAAAAACTTGGCATTAACAAAATAAGTCAAAAGTTAAGACCATGCTACAAGAACAAAAGTTTAGATTGCGGTAAATGAAAAAATGCGTAAGTTTCATTTACTTCATTCAAATCACGTCATTCTTTCAGATATCTTTAGTAAACAAATGAACAATATATTATGTTTACTTATAACTCGTCAGAAATCTTACCATATGATTTTTCAGGTAAATTGTAGGTAAGCAATTTCATTGCTTTATCTGTACCTAAAAAAATAAATGCAAATTTTACATTGTAAATGCGTATTTAATGAAAAAAAAAAAAAAAATGTTTCTTTTTACATAAAGTTACATTAAAAGAAACCCAAAAGCAATTTATGCATATATAAACAAAAAAACATAAGTTAAGGAAGGAATAACGCATTAATGTAAACGGCAAACTTGAAACATGCTATTTATCAATAACAAATTCTTTTAATAATTATTTTAATCTTTTTTCGCCAAGGAAATTAATAACAATTTATCATTTTTTTAAAATAGGATAAACATTATAGGGGAAAGCGGGGCAACATGGCGAATGGGGCAAGATGGGTTTTTATATAACAACTCAACAAAAAATCTTAAAATTGGTTGAAAACGAAACTGTATTTGCATCTTGTATTTTAAAACATTTTTTGAAATATTATCAACGCAATTTTATACGCATAACTTTACTTTTTGCGCTCAAAAAAAAATTCCTCACTTTCGGTTTCTTATAATGGATGGTGTCCTTCAAGTTTAACTTCATTAGAAGTAGTTTTTTGCGATTTGTGTTTATTTTGTGTTACTTTAGTTAGATTTTTTGGTATTTTTAAAATTTTATAAAATTGGAGGTAAAAATTGCATAATAAGTCATCTTGCCCCGGTCACGTGATCAGATAACAAATTTATGAACTTTTTATTTTAATATTTATTTCAAATTGTTATATTTGCAAACTGAAAATTCATGCAGGCAGTGAAGGATTTTGATAACATAAACATACTGAGAAAGTATTATTGCTTCACGGCTGGTAGTTTTGCAATAACTCAGGGCTTTCAAAACGTTCGCCATGTTGCCCCGCTTTCCCCTATGTGATAACCCTAGATTTTCAATAAATACAATTTCTATAATCCTGAAGTCACTAAATCCAAATAAATCTACAGGAGTAGATGGAGTTCATTCATATACTTAAAAGTTTTGTGTAAAAGCGTTTTTTTTTTCTTTTTTCACTTATTTTTAATAAATCGTATGACGTTGGAATAAGCCGTCAATGTGTTTAAATGCTAACAAAACACCATTATTCCAAAATGGAGATCTAGCAGCCGTGGCGCAGTGGTTAGAGTTCTGGCTCGGTTAGACGCCAGCTCTAGCAAAAACAAGCGACATTGGTACGGAAGGAGGCGTGAACTTCCTGTTAAATGCTCTCCCGCGGTGCTCTATGATAAGACCGTAAGGACTTCTGGGAGCACCTAAAAACATACAAAAAAAAAAAAAAAAAAAAAAAAAAGATAAATCAGATCCATTAAGTTATTGACCAGTATCGCTCACTTCATTTATAAGTAAAGTAATGAAACGTATCTTAAAAGCTACATTTATGTAGCATTTAGAAAAAACAATCTTTTGACTAAGGAACAACTTGGATTTTTCTAGTAAAAAAACTGTTGTACAAACCTTATAGAATCTAATAACTCAGGCAAGATAATTTATTGGTAGATATCATTTTCCTAGTTATGAAAAAAGCTTTCAATTCCGTGCTTCACAACAAATTGTGTCTTCAACTAAAAAGTTATGGATTTAACGATAAAGTACTTATATGGTGCAGAAAGTTTGTATGTAACAGAGTGCAACGTGTTGCCTGCAACAGTGAATTTTTTGATTGGTCTTCAGTTCTTGACATATTTTGCGTTATCGGAAGGGAAGGAGGGGTAAACTTTCTAGTTAAATTATCAAATGCGGTGCTCTGTGATGATGAAATGCGGTGCTCCGTGACAAAACCATTAGGTTTTCTTGGGGCAATTAGAACTAGATTTAAAAATAAACATTTTTAAGGATCTTTTAAAAGATTATTCATTATCGTTAAAAGATTATTCTTATTTCTTAAGATCAGATAAAAAGCTAGATAAACAAAATAGCTAAATTTTCACTATGCCCCAGTATGTCATTCAACCCCGTCGTTTTTAAATACCGAATATTTAAAACTTGCACTTTTTGACATTTTCACTCTGGTTTCTTCCATGTTGGTTACCATTGTGGTAAAAATAATATTATTTATTTGATTTATGGAAAAAAAATATTTTATGCTTGTGAACTTTTAAATTCAAACCAATAAAAAAAAAAAAAAACTTGCCTTCTTGAATCTTTTCTGTTATTCCATTTACTTCTGTTTGAAATTTAGATCTATCCTTAAAAAAAAACTTCTCCCCTTGACTTCCGGAACAAGTTTCTGAAAAAACTAAGGTTCCTTTAAGTTTAACAATTCTTCTTTCGTGCTCTGGACTCTCACTAACTTGTAACTTCACGCAAAATCCAGTCTCTCGGTGGTAAATTTTGTTGTCATAGCTATACAAAAATGTTGAATGCGTAAAATCATGATCGTGGTAACCACTTGTAAGAATAACTGGTATCCCAGGTCGATCCTATGAAAATAATAAAATGTATACAACTAAACAATGTCAAAATGAAACTCGAATAAAATGCTTAGGGAGGGGTAAAGATGCCAATATAACTCCACAGGAAAACTTTATTGTCTTTTTTTAAATTTTTTTAAATTTAATATTTACGCAAATTTTTTTCATAAAACTCTTTTCTTAACAAGCTTTTATTTGTTGTTGTTACTCAAGTAGAATACAAAAAAAAAAAAAAAGGTTCAAAATTAAAACTTTTATAAGATTTTTTGATCCGTGAGTTTTTCAGTAACTAATGTTCAAAAATTCTACAAAAATAAATTCTACAAAAGCAAAAAATTGAATTGGTCTTCTTAGAGCACCTAAAACAAAAATTAAAAAAAAAAAGATAAAACCGATGATTAAGAGCACAAAGGGAATATGTCCAACATTTTACGGTTTTGAGGTATTGCGCGCGCGCCATTAGTAAGTGATAAGGGTATTATGGTACAAATATTAAGCTTCAACAGTTGACCAATGGAAGATAAATTTGGTTAAAAATCATGACAATAAATAAATATCATGAATTATTGTATTTTTTCAAACTTTCAAACTTAGATTTCTCAAAACAATGGTTAGTGGACGTATTCCCTTTGTGGTCTTAACCATCGAAACTAACCTTATTAGCACATTAGCCCATTACCCCATTACCCCATTAGCACAAACTGTTTACTTCCCCTAAGAAATGATTTAAATCAATTTTTAGTCAAATTTAGTTATAATATTTAAAAGTTTATTTATGTTAAGGAAGTCATATAAGCGGTTCTTTGTGAGTCTTTTAAGTATTTCGTTGAGTTGGGAGTGCTTAATCCTGTGTTCCTGTAAAGAGCTGCTTTTGTTGTTTATAAACGTTTGGGAGAGTAAAAAAAAAAAAGAAACAAAAATTAAAAATGTGTTGGCACAAGCATTTGTTGGGCATGTGCTGCAACACACACTTGTTTTTTTCTCAAGGGCCATTTGGTCTTAAAAAATATATTTTTGTTTCATCTTTAAACAACCAATCCGCCAGATTAGGCAATAACACATTGTACCATTTGTTTCAGGTTTTACTTTTATTGACTTGAAATCAATCAAACAAGAGAGTGCAATTCCTTTTCCTTATTGTTTTCTGCGCAAAATAGTTCGTACAATTAACTTTTCCTTTAACGCTATAACCATCTGAGCTATCCCGCCACATACATGACCTTGTGTTCAACATTAATTCACATAGTCCTTGTGGTACCCGAGAATCACTGATATTGATGTTGGTCTTGTACAGTTGGCATATTCGATTGGCTTGAAAAGCAGTAAGCTGTCTCAAACATTTTTTCAGACAAAACCCCAAAACTTTATTAAATCAATCAGTCATTAAGATCAGATCGTAGAGATTTTTTACCTTAATATTCCAAAAAAAAAAAAAAAAAAAAAAAAAAGAGAGAGAAAAACATACTTTCAAATATTATTAATTTAAAGAATAATAAAATCAAGGAAACAATTCTTAAATAATTCTTTCCTCACAAGGTATTAATTATTTAATAAATTTTTTGAGTCAATTATATTAGTTAATATCAAAAATACTTAGTTTTCTCACAATTTTTCTGTTAAATATTTTTTATTTTATATTCAGATACCCCTAAAAAACGTTTTCAAGCATTTTTTTACATTTTTACAAATGTTTAACGCTTCTGCCTAATTTTTGAAGATTTTTGTATATTTTTGTAATCGACGGAATTCTTAAGCGTTTAAAAAATTATTTCCCATAGAGGAAAATTAGAATTATATACTTAGTAAAAGGTTTTAAAAAAGATGTCATTAATAATGGTAATATAATTATTAAGGTTTGATATAGTCTTAGTCTAAAAAATTATAATTGTCTTCTAAAAGAATTCAAGTGATTTTTGATGATGAGCCGTTTTTTTATTAAAACTTTTACCTGCTTATCTTTTATTTTAAATTGATACATATAAAAAAAAGTATTAGGAAGTAATGGGAATCGTTAGCATTTAGAATTCCCTTTTTTAGCAATTTAATAAAAAAAGTTGTTTGTTAAAATGTTATCAATAAATAATGATGAGTGACCATTAGTTAATCAGCCGACCAAAATCTCACGGCCAGCTGATTAACTAATGGTATTGTTTCAGTTTCGAATAAATCGTTAGAAAATTTTCTCGAGTTTAGATTTTCATAATAATCAAACGGATTTATTTTGAAATTGTACTTAGGTTAAAATGGGGCAAGCAAGATACCTTTTGGGAGAATGTTTATAACTTGAGAAGAATCGATTTTCAGAAAATTTCAGAAAAGAATCGATTTTCAGAATGTCGCTAGCCTTTATCTCATTAAAATTTATTATTATTTTGGGCCAAAATGAAACAAGCGTGATTTAAAAAAAAAAAATTCATTTTAATAAAATTTAAGCAACGTTTCAAAGATTAGAACTGGGTAAATGTAAAATATTTTAAGTTATGTTATAAAATTTCAGCTCACATGGCGGGAAAAACATTTTGAAAAAAAACGATTTGAAACAAACAGTTCTTAGAATCAATTTGTTTATAAAAATATAAATTTTTATGAACAAACTTTACATAATTAAAGTGGAATTAATGAACATTGTTTTAAATATTGATTAAATAATGTTAATTAATCAATGTTAAAAAGCTTTGCAACAAAATTTTATGGTCCTTGAAACATCTTGAAACCACATTGTAACGAGAGTAAATTGAATAAAATAACATTATTTATATTACCTTTCTTGGATCCACATGGTTATTTGCAGTCAAATTGTATCTTTCATTTTTAAATATAAACTTATCTGAAATACTCCAAATGTCTGCATTCTTACAATTCTTCGTCAGTATCAAGAGAGCAACTTTTCCACGGGGCAAGTTTGGTTCTATTTGGTAGTTTAACTCCTTAGGTGCAGCTGCAATAACGCATCTACCACTTTGATGTTGTAATACACCTTTATAGTGTTTACGATATGTCGTTATAGCAGACGTTAAATAAGGGATTATCAACACTTTCATAAACAATATATATATATATATATATATATATATATATATATATATATATATATATATATATATATATATATATATATATATATATATATATATATATATGTATATATATATATATATATATATATATATATATATATATATATATATATATATATATATATATATATATATATATATATATATATATATATATATATATATATATATAGTATATATATATATATCAAATTTTATGTTTTAATTATTCAGTGTTCAGTTTTTATGACCATGTAAAATTATTCTTTAAATGGTCATAAAAACTGAACACTGACTAATTTAAAAATAAAGTTTGAAATACATAACTAGTTTATATTTATGAAAAATAAAATAATTTAACTCATTGCCCTTACGTTTAGATTGGAGGAGAGGAACTAAGATTTTAGGGTTTGTTGTTCCCATTCTCCTATCACAGTAATTTTATTGTGTGAAGATTCTTTTCGTCATACATGAAACGTAAAAAAATTTGGAATATTCTTTTTGTTTAAAAGTTGGTTATTTCAAACATTTGAAAACTTTCCTACGCCAGTGTATATATATATATATATATATATATATATATATATATATATATATATATATATATATATATATATATATATATATATATGTATGTATGTATGTATGTATGACATATACAGCTCGGTTAATAACAATAAAAAGGTATTTTAGTTTATCTCTGACATCAATATAAAAAGAACTTAAAAAAAAAAGATAGTACCTGTAAAACAAGAAAACAGCATTTTTACAACAAGAGAATGAATGTAACGTTTTCAATGAAAAAAGCATTCGAAAATTCTTTTAAAGAATTTAACGTATTAAAAAAAATATTACAACGCAATTTTGATAGGAAAAAGTTAAAAACTTATTTTTTAAAAATTATTGTAAAATGCCTATATATTTCTCTTATTTCACATGAAAGTCAGTATTGATCTTCTTTTATAAAAAAATAATGTTGCTGTAATAGACTTTACTTTAGAGGCAATGTATCTTTTGATTTCATTTAAACTTGATTCAAAAATAAACTAATCGATATAAAAGTTTTTAACAGATCCCTTATTGCTTATAAAGCCGCAATAATTCTCTTGAAAATAAAATAAAATACCAAGTTTTTTGTGTATTGGAGTAATGCAATGTTTTAGAATACTTTTTATTAGGACCAAAAAAATATTACAAAACCTCTATAACTAGGCTTACCATACGTCCGGTTTTGACCGGGGTTGTCCCGGTTTTATGCCATTTATCCCAGCGTCCCAACGGTTTTCATTTTGTCCCGTTTTCGGAAAAAAATGGAATTTTTTGTTTCATTTTGTCCCAAACAAAATTCATATTTTTGAATTTTGAAAAAAAAAGCAGACAACGAAAGTCATATTATTTTGATACTAATACGATTACTAAGAATTACTTTCTAGGTCTGCGTTTTATCAGGAATTCAAAATCTTATTTTGGAATCTTATTTTCTTGAATACCGCTAACCGTTGACTTTATTAGTGTATGTGTAGCTGGAGTTTAACCTGAAACTTTTGTTGTTAAAATATATAGGTATTTTCATGTCTAAACAGTTTGAATAACTGAGTTAAAGGAAATTTGTGATTTTGTGGATGTGGAGTATATATTTGAGGCCCTGAAGTCATACTTTGTTTCTCAAAAAAATTTTCCTCGTGCTTTGCAAGCATTTTTTGAAAGTGAAACAGGTGACTTATATTATCGAAAGTAACTTTATAGATACAACTGTATCTCCATGTTCGTCAGCATAGAGGGGCCTGGTGTAGCACCTCTATGCTATTATAAATGGACTATTGTATTTGTATTTGATCACTGAAACAAATAATAATAATAATTTCTTGTTTGTGCATGGTCAACTTCATAACTTTAACAAAACTGTCATAGTTATGGAAAAAAGTCAATAAAATGCAACAGACCCTGCTTAATACAAAAATTTAAATCTAATCTTGATAAATAAATGAATAGTAATTTTGTCCCACAAGGAGCAAAATAGTTGCTTCGAAAATATAGTGCCCAAGGTGTTAACACATTTTTAACAAAAGTAAGTTCCTTTTATAAAAACTTTTCTCTTATATTGAACTGTGGGAAAATAGTTTTGGTGGGGCCGAGATATTTGCATGGATTAAACTTGATCACGTACTAAAATGGGAGGATATTGAACAATCTGCTAAAGCTATAAACAATATTCGTGGTTCAGATGATCAACAGAAAATTGAATATTGACAGTCTTTTTGATGAAATTTTAGTACGTGATCAAGTCTAATCCATGCAAATATCTCAGCTCCACATTAACTATTTTCCCACAGTTCAATAACGTCAAATGCAAAAACATCAAAAAAAGAAGAATGGAGTTTATTGAAAATCCAAATCACTAATGTGAACAATTGGATTCAATTATTCAAACATTTTCAATAAAAAGACATGGTATACCTAATCTGGTAAAAGTTATTGAATACCTTTAGTATTTGCCAGGAACATCTGCTCCTGTAGAGTGTATTTTTTTAATGATAAAAAATATTTGTTCAGATGACCGAGGTTTTTTAAAGGAGTTCACGGTACGTGCATTGCTGTTCTGCAAGTTGAACTTAAGCGTTGCATGCTCTTTTTTTATTAGAAAATTTTAACTTGCTAGAAAAAGTACATTCTACTGAAAAGTATAACTCGTGCAAAAACAGTGAATAGTTTTTTTCTCATATTTCTTTTATTAGACTTGTAACAAATAATTTCAAAAATATTTTGGTGTTGTTTCTTTACTTTAGATTCCTTCAGCAGCTGAGCAATGGACCAATTCCTTTTTTATATAAAGACTTTCATGAAACCTAATTACAGGGTGACATGTTTTTTGAAGCACAAAAAAACGCTATTCTTCACCCCCTCCTATCTCTATGGTTATTTATTTCAACATTTTACAATACCCTTCCCCCCCCCTCCACACACACACACACGTACACAAACACACGCATAAACCGATATTTCTTTCTAAACACCACCACCATCACCCGCCGCCACAACCCCTGCGTGTCCCGGTTTATCACTTCAAAATTATGGTTAGCCTAACTATAAAGCTTATGATTCATTGAAAAACCTTTACGATGAACAAAACATTCCGTTTAAGGCAAATTACTCCTTTTAAAAGTAATTTGCTTTTGCAAAATACTCCTTTTGTTCAAGTCAAATTACTCCTTTTAGGAGTAATTTGTTTAATTTAAGGAAATTTGTCTAAAATGTTTTTGGAACAGCCGTTCACAAAAACTTGGAACGCGTTCCATGTGGTTTGTTTCGTTCGAAACAAAATCATGGAGCTCTATACTGATTACGTATTTTAAGAAATGAATATAATGAAAGCAATTTGTTCAACCAAACATTACTTTATTATGAAAAGTTTGGTGACTACCTCAAGTCTATAGTTTGTAGTGGTCTTGAAATTCAACCAGACAATATATACCATGGGTTTTTATTTTTTTGCTTTCTCTTATTCCATTCAATAATAGTTAAAGTTTGTCGTAAAGTCCTTAAGTGACATATTTTTGAAATCTCTTGCTTATATATTTTTAAACAATTTTTGTGCACAAATTACACCAAGATCTAATAAAAAACCTGCATTAAAAGTGTTAAAGTTATTATAAATTTATTAAAAAAAAGAATGATTTGTATCTGTTGTTGTTAAAATATATGCAAAAATTTTATTTTATTTTGCGTCCTCTTTATCTAGAATTTTCTAAAATAAAAACAGGAAATTTTACAAAATTTCCCCCCAAACACTTCGAAACCCCATTTCAAAATCCGTGTCGTCGGCCCTGAATCAAACTTTAATTTATACCATATATGCTATAAATTAAAGTTTGCTTATATAAACATTTACTTGATTTTCATCAAAAATGACTTTGAATTTGAAATTTCTAGATTTTAGAAATTTATGATTGTGCCCCTCCACTTCGAAACCCGGTCATGTATAATGGCAGTAAAGACTCACTAGCACTTTTTTCAAGGAAGTATAAGAAATCTATGTAAATATTTACATAAATTTAAATACCATTGACTATTAAAAAAGAGTCTATTAGTACTTTTCTCAAAGAAAGTATAAGAAATTTATGTAAATATGTATTTAACATAAATTTCTATAATGCAGGTCTCTAAAAAAAACTTTTTTTCTGTTGCATGAGATGTTTAAACTGATTTTTATGTATTTTTTAATGCTGATTTCAAATTTGAGCTTCGTTTTTTTCGGCAAGTTTTAGTCTTTTTGTAATTTCAAATTTTTCATTTTTATAAAATATAAGTTTGTTTGTAGGCATTTTTACTTTGTAACCAAAATAAAAAGAGAACATCTCATACTTTGTGCCATATTTGCAGAGAGAGTCTTCAAGATTGTACAAAAGGAAAAAACAAAAAATTACCTTTTGGAATCCCCGTAGGGTGGAAAGAGAACTACTAAAACATATCGATGGCTCCTTTTTTGTCTTGTCAATACCTCTGGCATTGGAAAAAGCGGTAAAAAAAAAAAAAAGCTTATTTCAACATTCTTTCTGCTATTTGACCAATTCAACATTCTAAAAAGATTCAAATTCCAATGTTTAAAGGTTTATTTTTGTCAGATGATGAACGAAGCATGCCTGCTACAGAAACGCAAGAATTTATACCAGATTTAGAAGACTTCTCTAACGCGAAACGTTTAAAATTGCCCCAGTGTTTTATTCAGATAGAGCTGAAACAAGCCGCAGAACTATTAGCTTGTTGATTAAAGGAAAAAAACCCTTCTTGATAGCTTGGCAATAGTTTCTTGCCTTAGAACAAGAAAGGAAACACTTGCTAACTTTTTTTGAGAAGTTTATTTATTTGTTTTCTGTAATGATATTTTAGGTCTCCTATAACAGTTAGGTATTTCTGTATGTAATCCAACAGAATGGAGACGATAGCTCAAAGCGAAACCTTTAATATGTCCTTTTGAACAATGGTAATATTCTTTGTTCTGTGCGAATATGTTTATCTACAAGAGACTTACCATGGCATTGGTGCTTAACTTAATTAAATATCCAGAACACAAATGGATTGTTTGTGTAGATCTAAAAATGATTAATTTTCTCCTTGGTCAGCAAAAAGGTTTTACTAAATTTCCATGTTATCTGTACATGTGAGATATTCGAGCGAGAAAGCAACACTGGATACAAAAGGAATGGTCAATTCGCAATACTCTCACAGTAGGCATGCCAAACATTGTGAATAAACCCATTGTTAGCAGAAGTACAATAGTTTTGGCATCTCTCCATCTTAAACTTGGTTTCACAAAACAATTTGTTAAAACACAGAAAACTGATAATGCTTGTTTTCAGTATTTAGTTAAAACAATACCTGTTTTGTCATTAGAGAAAAAAAAAAACTCAAATTTTTAACTGGTCACATATTCGCTACCTTATAAATGGTAAATAACTTGTTAATAGCAAAAAGAAAATTGCATGGTTGTCATTTGGGTATGTTGCAAAAAAGTTTTTAGGAAATAAAAAAGCTAAAAACTATGCAGATTTAATTGATACATCCGGTAATCCAAATAATAACCATTAGACAATCAAATCTATTTTCAAGGTATAAAATTTGTAACAGCAGCAGAAAGAATCATCCTTAGAACAAGTTTCTTTAGAGAATGCACATACAAGTTTCTTCTAGAGGTAGCTTTATTATGTTAAATAAATTATTCGTGCTCGTGCATACTCACTGATAGCTTTATGAGCAACTTTCCAGTTGTAAAATACAATTTTTTTTTATTTTTTATTTATCATAACAAAGATCGATCAAAGTCAGTCAGTTTCCCATGATAAGCGTCTAGCCATACAAAAGCTTAACACGTTAGAATACCGACGAGTGTTTAAAGATTTAGGTTTATGCTACAAAATTCTTAGCGGTAAACTGGACACTGACCTATCAAACATTCTTATTCTCAATTCTTACTTGAATAATCGAGGTCATAACTTTAAACTGTACAAACACCATTGCAATTTAAACAGTACTAAGTGTTTCTTTTCTAATCGAATTGTTAATGTATGGAATAGTTTATCGGAGAATGTGGTGTCTGCATCTCTTTGTCTTTGTGATGTTTAAGAACCGTCTTGCTGTACTGCTTTGTTCAAGTTGATACAATTTTGTTCTAACTGGTCCATTACTTGATACAATTTAACATTTTAATAAAAAACTTGTTAATGTATAATCTAGCGTTAGTGGCCTTGGGGTCCTTCTGTTGTTTTTAAATAAATAAATAAATAAAGTTTACCACTGATATGAAAACGAAACGAGTTTGAAAATGCCTTTGTTTTTTAATTGTTTACGCATTCTGAATAGAATAAATTATTTTTTCAAGATGGCCGAATAAGTCCCGAGTATTTCAAAAAATGATACTAAATACTGAAAACAGTTTTTTTAATGGGGCTAAAAGTGATGACTATTTATGCAAAAACACTACCATAGTTTATCTGAATCTAACGTGACATTATTGTTAAACATACTCTTTTAGGTGTGGTATTACAAATAATAACTTCAATTTTCATAAAAAAATGGTTTTTCATGGATAATTTTCCCAAATAATATCTGATTATAAATTTTAAGTTACATTTATTGAAAACAAACCCCAATACGTGCTTTTATGAAAAAATCAAATCCATAAACTTATCAATAGCCAAACCCTAAGGTACTTTATGTTAAAAATTACATCTTTTAATAAAATAAAACTACGCTTGACGATTTATTATAGTCGCATTACTTTTACCAGATTATAATAGTGGTTAATATAATCTTTCCATACATACAAAATATGTTATATTTGTTAATGAGAAAACTTACACATATTATAATTGAAAAAACTTATATTTTTGTTCGGAAAAACGTGTACCATGCCTTAGTTGCATTGAGTGAATTTCACTATTACTTTTCAAGACGTAATATAAAAAAATTTACACGCTTATTGCAAAAGCTTTTCTATCCCTGGTGTAAACGACGCAACAGACTTAATTTTTTTTTCCCAATATGTATAAAAAAAAATTACTCGTTTTTTTGTTGTTGTTGTGTTGTTTTTTTTAATCAAAGTTCCCAATATGTATAAAAAAAAATTACTCGTTTTTTTGTTGTTGTTGTGTTGTTTTTTTTAATCAAAGTTCTTTGCACAATTTTTTCCATAAAACAAGTCTTATTCAGGGCCGTGCCAAAGAGGTCTTCCATAGGGAGGGAGGGGGTGCTGAATGCATTTTTTGCTAACTAGAGACACCAATGCTTATACAACAGCTTTGAAGGAGGGGGGGGGGGGGACTTCTACATCTCCGTTCGGGACACCTCTGGTCTTATTTATTATTTTTTTGTATAACCTTGTTAAACGTTGACAATATCTAGTACATTTCTATTGAAGATAATAAGATCAGGAGCTAATGGACACTAATCAGCTGCCATACGGTTACATAAAAAAGTTTTGCGAACTGTACATTTAAATAATTCCTGTTGCCCAAAAGAGAAAAATCCCAAAAACTGGTCCAGGTTATGCAAGTGCAGGAGCCAGTAATGGTGACTAGATCCATTCAATTTTGCTTATGCTGTGGTAAATCCTAAAATATTTGATAAGATCGCTTCGGATTCGTTGATTTTTAATTGATTATAAATGATAAGCTTTAACCAATGATTCTGAATTCGCAACTCTTATAATCAAACAAAAAAAATTCACTGAAAGCAGCATATATCAACTTAAATTTGACAAAACAACAACTCACATCTTATGCCAAAAATTAAAAATTATAATTTAAAAGAGCTTCAAATCAGTAATTTTGAGTTAATGTAGAGAATTAATGTAGGGAATTAATGTAGAGAATTAATGTAGAGGATTTATGAATAATACCGACATGATTATTTAGAAATATTTTGTTTTCAGAATTGTCAAGAGTCTCCAGAATTTTGAAGAGCAATTAATCTCCCTCCCGCATATACAAAAAAAAAATTAAACAACTCTTTCTTTCCTTTTAGTTTTAACCCGGTGGGAAATGAGCCAGCTACTAGCGAGCAACTAACTAGCTTTATAGCGATTTTCAAGCGATTTTTTTTTCTTACTTTATTCTTTACTAGTGTCTCTACATCTTTAAAAATTCTATTTTTTAGTGTTGAGTTTATTATAATTATGAGAATAATTGAACTTTAAACATTGCGATTTTGTAGCAATGTGTCGCTAGCTACATATCGTAGCTTTGTAGCTAGCTACAAAATATCTACAAATCTATAGCTGGTTGTTAGCAACATACCAAAATTTTTTTGATAGTGATTTTATTACGATATGACGGTAGCTACAAAAGCCTGTGAGTCTTTAGCTTATTAAGCTAGCTGTCCTCGTAGCCAAATCGCTATCTTTATCTTTACAAATATCGATAGCTTTTCGCTAACTTAAAAAAGCTAGAAATCCTCGTGGCCAAAACGCTGTCTTTATCGTAACGATTATAGCTAGTTATTCGCTAGCCGATTTCCCACCGGGAAATCAACTCAATTTCAATTTGGTTAAATATTAGCAAGTATTATTTTATTTCAAATGAACAGACCAGAAAGTTAACCATGCTTTAAATGTGATCCAACACCTAGTGTTATTGAAAAAGCTCGCACGCCTGTACCTTGTGGGTGTCGTCGAGTGGGACCAACCCCCTTTTTTTTTTATGAAATTCTCTAGTTTCATGCAAAAAAAATTTTTTAAATTGAGCAAGATTTTTATTTATTATTCTTAACTGCCTTTTTTTTTCAAAAACGAGCCCCCTTAAAAATTTTCACCGTATGGGCCAAGCAAAGACTGTCACTTGGGAGTATAACCAAGAACATTCAAAATGTAAATAGTTAATGTTAAAATGTATTTATGATGATGAAACAAGTGATAATATTTCAAATAGATTCACTCATAAATATTTGAGTATCTTTTTTTAATGCTCAAGATATTTAGAAGGCAAATACCTTTTGTTTGTGCAATTTTTTAAAAGTTTCCCTCATACCATTTTTGAAAACTTGACAGCTCTGTGTTTTAAAGATGAAGGAGGACACACGTTTGAAACTTAATGAAACTCCAATGTTTTCAGTCTGCTTAAAATTTTCCTACAAAATATATTTAAAATGTTGATAACTCGTGGCAATAGCGGCGCAATTTATCCAAAAATTATGCGAATTTAAAATGCGAATTAATGGAAAGTAAACATATTTCAAAAATGAGCTATATATAAACAATAAACTGATGTTATCGCTATTATTACTTTTTTTAAATCGAAAAACTAAATATTTAGGCATTTATATTTTACGATAAATATCCACTCACTAGTTTATACAAACAAACAAAGAAAAAACATTAAAATATCTATTGAAATGAAAATCATTAAATTAATAATTTTTCATTATTTATGATTATTAAAATGATAATTTGAACATTATAAGATATTAATTAATTGAAAATTCTGAATATAATTTATATTTTTTTATATAAAGAAGTATTAATATGCTTTTTTAAATGCATTTTATGACAAAATAAAAAAGTAAAAAAAAGATTTTTTTTTTTTTTTTTTGTATTATTTATGGAAATTAAATATAAATTATATATTTAATATATAAGTATAAATTACAGTTCAAATTATAGGTTTATTGGATGCAAATTAAATTATGGATCCGTCAACAAGACTACTTGGTCTTAGCTTTGCTATGTTAGTAGGATGTTACATATTTGGTTTAGTACCACTGACAGTTTCATTATCTGAGGTATAACAAAAAGAAGTTTGTTTTACTGAGGTGTATAAAATGGATGTTTTATAAAATTGTTATATTGTTTAGCTGTTAGTTATTATATTAGTTAAGTTATTTTATATTATCTAAATACAAAACGTATTTTTTTTAAATAAAATTTTATCAATTTCGCTTTTTTTTTTGTTTGAGCTTATATCTTTTTTAGAAAAATATTCGCACTATGTCAATTACAGGAGCTGGGTTAATTGTTGGAGCAGCACTATCAGTTATTATTCCAGAAGGAGTTCATTCGTTATATGAACAACAACGTATAGTTTTAATAGAATATCTTTAAAATTCCTAAAAATTAGTATGAAGGACTTATTTTAATTCAGTAAATTGCATAAAATTAGAGATCAATTGTTATTGTTATTGGCTGTTACTGTTAAAATTAATTAATTAGAATAATTAGTAATAAGCTATAGTTAATTTTTTAATTTTAAGTTTTTAAATCATTAAATTTTAAGTTTCACAAGCTTCTCACAGTCACCATGTTCAATCCCGTTCACTTAACCATGCTGTTGAAAGTCATAAAGAAGTAAATTATGATGGCATCTCATCATGGGTTAGCCTCCATCAGCGTTTTGTACCAGAATTTGAGTTGCATGCAATTATTGGCATATCATTAACTCTTGGATTTGTATTTATGCTTCTTATTGATCATTTATGTGGCGGTTCTCATTCTCATGCATCAAATGGTATGAGATTTTTAGTTTTAACTTTTAATATCATTGTAACCAATATTTGTTATAGTAACAATTTACTACTTTTACAGCTAGTATCAATAGTGTAGCAAATTTTGAAAAACGCAGTAAATGCTGGCAATGAGCTCACTGCTGCTTTGTAGTGAGTGTCATAAAGAATCCCAAAGTAATAATGCTTCCTAGAGTACAAAGTTATGGCGCCTACACTTTGTATCATTACTATTTTTGTATCATTACTATTAACTTTAATTTTAAATTTTTTTATATGAATAAAGTTAGTTATGAATAAAGATAGTTACAAAATAAATTTATGCTTTTTCAAAATTTATTTCAATCAATTGCATTTGAAATGGGTTACTTTTAAATACTTTGGATTGTTAGTAGAGTAATAATTTAGTCAAAAAAATGTTTAATAAATAATAGTTACATAATAAATAAGAATGAATTAACTGTTTTTTCATCAGCAGCTCTACTGAAATGAGTGTTGTGACACAATAACTTTCGCCCTTGTCTGTTGCTTGTGGTGATAACAGTTCCAGAACTTTGAGTGATTTTTATGATGATTGCTGTTGTGATGTAATATCATCTTTAGATAGTGTTGATATATATGATTGTGAAACATTTTTTACATAAGGAACAATTATTCAAACTCTAGGTAACTCTAGTCAATCACAAACTTCAGTTTTGTTTACTATAAATGATGTGCACATTGCAGAAATCTGGAAACTGTAAAGGAGCTGAAAAAGCAGCGCTTCACAACAACAATTCATTTATCCTTGATTAGGATGCCAAGTATTTTCCTGACATTAATACTATAGCAAAACAGTCTACAAAAAGGTCGTTCTTTTGAAGGCAGCAAGGAGATTTGCAGTTCCTAAGACTGCTGCAGGTCCCAGTGATCAAGTGTTTTCACTACTACATTTGGTTCCTGTGCAGGACCAGAAGTAGGAGTCTTTAAGCGTTTTCAGAAACATCAAAAGTTGATCTAATTCTTTTTATATCTACCAGTGATATACTTTTCTGCACACTTGAGCTGCTCAGTCTACAAGAAAACTAGAGATAATTATGCAGGACTTCTAAACATTTGCCACATCTTCGTTAATGATATAGCAATTGTTTTATCCCAATGAGATCATAAGAAATATTGTGTCAAAGGCATCCAGATGCTAGCTTTGGTATCTCTCTTAGAACATTTTGTTGGTCTTTCCTTATTTCACCCACAAATTGCTGATGTCAAAAAGGCTATTGTTAAACTGAGCTGCCCAGCAATAGCTAGCAATCTGAAGCAACTTGACAGTGACAGATTTGACCTAAATAATACATTAGATAAGTATCTCACAGAGCACACTACTAAGTTATTCTCCTAATGAATGGCAGAATTAAAAAAGTATTTAGCAAGGATGCATCATCTGTATCTTCTCATTTTACACCTTTTTTTTTTACACAAAAAAATTTGTGAGTGATTTTCTACTAATTTATTATTGTTATTTGAGGAATATATGTTATATATATATATATATATATATATATATATATATATATATATATATATATATATATATATATATGTTATTTGAGGAATATATATATATATATATATATATATATATATATATATATATATATATATATATATATATATATATATATATACACACACACACACGTGTTGCATTTAAGAATTGACTTGAAATCTTCTATAGATCATTATTTTGAATTATAAACACATACTGGTATATCAACTTTTGTTACATAACAGATATTTTTCTCATCAAGGTAATTAGATACACCTCTTACATAGTGTGAAGAGGCTAAGTCAAGCCAGAATGCATAATTACCATCACTGTTGATAAAAAGAAACAATCTTTTGATGATGCAATCATTTTTGTACACTGTTTGGTTAATTACCAATCTCACAGGAACAATAAATGTTTTGAGACTCCACAAGGGGATATGGTAATCCACACAAGAATTTTATTTCAAATTTCCTTTTGGGATTATATTTTATATTTTTTGGTTTATCTGATTAAAATCAGCATTAAAATTTTTATCTGAATTTTTATTATGTTTAAATGTAAAGTAAGACTTGTCATTAACAACAAATTCACAGTTTCTAAATTTCGGACAAATTCTTCCACACTTCAGTTGCAACTGCTTTAACTGTTTATTACTGCAATCAGAAATTTGTTTTCTCTTAAAAAACAAATGTTTGTTTTGTTTTTTAATGTTTTTACAATGTAGGAATGACCATAATTGGGATTCTTCGCAATTTTTCTTTTTTAAGTTGCAGACTGGTTCTTCAAAAGACCTTTCAAGCAATTAATATTCCTAGCAGTTATAATTTTTGGTTTTCTGCCTGATCCAGGTTTAAGAGACTTTGGCTTATCATTCTTCCACTTTGCCATATATCATTTGATGGTTCTTTTGGGATGTTGGCGTTTTGCCAATCATAAACAATACTTTAAAAATGTCAAAATACATATTGGAATTGAAAGATAAAAATATTGATGATTTTATATTAAATTGGCCCATCCTTAAAACAGCACCTGCATATAATAACTAGTACATATTATGTATATGAGAAAGTTTTGAATTAATTGCACATGCGAACCAAGAATGTTTATTAAACAAAAAATCAGAATTGGTTATAAATGCAGACACGAAAATAAGTTTCTCATAAAAAATTATAAAAATAAATATAATAGTGTCAGCATATTCCACAAATGTGTGGAAATTTACAGTAGCATTTATGACATTTATGACTTCCTGTGATTTAATTTTTTGTATAAATTGAAGTTTTATTAATTTGTACATGCATTTCTAATGTCTTAATTGATGAAACACAGTGTAAAATGAAAAAAGCTTGATTAATGATTTTCTAGTAACTTATTATTGTTCTGTTCTTTTAAGAACATTAAGCATTTTTTAGAATACATTTAAAATTGTCCCTGTATATATTAGGCTCCTTATTAATATTTGTTTGGCACTCTTAATTGTATTTTAACATTCTGTGTAAAAATGAAAACTAATAATATCACTTACTCGTTAAAAAACAAGCCTATAATAGATAGAAAAAGTTATAGTATATCTTTGATTGAAAATTTTGAGCATTTTATTGAAAGATTTTGTTAGAAAGCAAACTTTTTCTTTAAACCGAAAACAAACACAAATGATGTACTTAATAATAACCATGATAATGATAATTATGGATTTAAAACAAAAAATACTCCACCTCTTATACCTGATTTAGAAAATTTTGAAAAATGACCTACTGCACTTAATTAAAATAAAGTTTCAGCTTATTAGTAACAAATTTCTTAAAGAATAAATATACATGATGATACATAAAGAATAAGTGACAAAATTTCAAATTTGTCACAAATGACAAATTTCATAAAGAATAAGTGAACATGACTAAGATTTGATTGATATGTTGAAATGAAAAGCATTTAAAGTTTTATTCTTCAAAACCAGATCAAAAAGTAAAAATAAAGGTGATCAAGTGAATACAATAAAGAGGAAGTAAAGAATTCAAAATAGCATTTTTAATGAGTTGGTGGAAAGTAGTGTTTAGCAGTATGGTGCTAGTTGTATTGGTGCTTCGTAACATTTATTGATAAAAAAAAATTTAAAACAGATAAAAGCTATTACTACAAGCTTGTTTGTGCACATATTTATGTTTTCATACCTGACCAAGAAAATATATAGAGATATAATTCATACAATAGTACATAAAGATATAGTGATTCTGTTTTAATGAATATTCTATATTAAATACATTAAATGAATATTCTGAAACTTTTTTAATTACTAGCTTTTAATTTACCATTTTTCTTGTGTTTGTCTATTTACAAGAATATACAGGGTGTCCCAAAATTAATGCAAGATTTAAATTAAATAGAAAATGCAGTTTTTTGACCAGTCTCATTTTTAAAAAAGTATGGTCCAATTATGCCTCCAGCCCAAAATGCACACCAAACAGTGACACGTTGTGGATGCATTTGTTTTTCGACAATCACATGTGGGTTTTCAGAACCCCAAATGCGACAATTTAGCGATTAACAAAGCAATCAAGGTGAAAATGTGCTTTGTTGCTTAGGATGATTTTGCTCGAAAAATCAGCATTCATTTGTTGTTGCTCAATAATCTATTCAACAAACTCTCTTTGCTTCTTGAAAATTTGCAATTCTTGTCCATGACGCCGAATTGAGGTTCCTAGATTGTTATCGACACTCGCATGCACTGCCTATATATTGACATTTGAACAGCTTGTTTTTGGATAACCAATGTGTTTGGCGTCTCCCATGGATCCTGTCTCTCGGAATCTTTCAATTAATCTCTTCACAGTTGATAAAGTTCAAACACTATTCCGACCATATTTTGTATGAAATTTTCGAATTGCGGCCGCCAAGCATTCATTATTTTTGAAATATTGTTCAACAATGAAGACATGTTGTTCTATTGCGTAATGCTCCATTTTTACTAACCCTAAACTGTCAACTGTCGATTTATTTTGTTTTTAGTGTTGTCAACACTGTACTGCATAAATGGTGGCTAATTCAAATCTTGCGTTATTTTTGGGACACCCTGTATATATAAGGCTTGAAATAGCTGCCGAACATTAGACACTGTCTAGCGCTTATCCAGTGAAAAGTATCTACTAATTATTTTTTCTGACCTATATTTTGCATGCATTTATTTTATAATTATTTTAGGTGGTTCAAAATTATTAGTTGATTCAGTTTAGAATATAAACTTCAGTTTTTGAATTTTATTTTTCATACAATACAGAAAATGAAGTTGAACTCACAGTTATGTTTATAAAGTTTTTAAAGCTTTTTTTCATTTTAAAAGCTGTTAAAACACTGAATTTTTTTTATTTTTTTTTTTGATATAAGCAGCCCAGTTTTTATCATTTGTAATATTATTAATTTAAATTTATACTTTAGTATTTGTTTTATTTTTTTGTTTGATGGTTTTTGTAAATTTCAAAAAACGTTTTAGCTCATAAAACCCCTTTTAATTTTGTTTTTACCAAAATTTTAGTAAAATAGTTTTTATAATACTTAAAGAAACTTTTTATTATGATATTTTATTTGAGTTACGTTACATAATGTTAGAATTTACCGTTAAAATTTGTTTATAAAGGTAACCATAGAAACTATAGAAATTTTTTTATATAAGTTATTTTTTGAATAATTTTTTTTTTCTAGCACATTTTTACACTTTGATACACTTATGATAGCGCATTAATACTCTTAAGTTGTCAAAAGATGCCTCGGTCGAGTTGTAAAAACAAAAAGTTTAAAATGGGTTACTACTGCATTTCCTTAAAGTAATTTTTTTTTAGATTTTGTTGGATATGTTTGTCATACCAAAGTATTAATAGCACAAATTTGCCTGGAACAGAAAAATTTGTTATTTTGAGCCCTGTATTATTTATATGGGCTGCGAGAGGAAAACAAAATAAAAATTATGAAGACACTTACTCATTGAACTTCTTTTTAACTATTTAATAATATTTTTGAGAAAAAAAGTTATTAAGAAAATCATTTTAATATACCATGGGTATAAAGTTGTAAGGACTATATTATATATATTATATAATGTTGTGAAGCAATGTGAAGGACTATATTGTGAAGCTTCTAAGTTTGACTTAAAGACAAAATGAAACATTCAAAATTTTTTTATAATATTTTTTATAATTTTTTTTATAAAAATGCACTCCAGCTAGGTCTTTAAAAATTTTATTATTTATCAAATAATCACAGAAAATCACAACAAAAGTTTTTTCTAGGCTTTGTATCAGACTTTATAAAACTATAATAAAAGTAAAGTTATATAAAAGTAAATTGTAAGAAAAGATTTTTAAAAAGAGAGTTTTATCAATTTTTCAATTTTTTTTGCAAAAAGTGCCTCAGATCACCTTATCAAGATGTTAAAAAATACATTGCAACTATTATGATAGGCTTGTTGTTTCATAATGGCTGACAGAGGGTTGTAACCACAACAAAAGTTTTCTTATTGACTGTAGTGGTCCCCTCAACCCTTGGGAAGGTGAATAACCTAAAAAATATATATAGTGTGATGCTCAAAAAACCTTTTTTGTAAGTTCCTGGGGCACTTCCTGGTTATGTTTCTATTGATGTTCTAATGTAGTGTGCAAAAAACCTTTGGAATATTCCATCCTTTAGTTGTGCCATTTGGTTGTGTTCCATCCTTTAGTCGTACCAGTGATATTTCATCATTTACCACATGACCTTAGAAGATTTAATTGGTCCCTAATTAAAAAGTTTTTCAAAAAAATGTCATGTTCGGTTTCAAATCAAGCTAAATAATATTAAAACTAACTTTTAAAAATTTTTTATGTTTTTTTAAATGAATTTTTTTTATACATATTTTTATAGAATATGATTACTATTTTTAAAAGTTTTGTAAAATTTCGCTTCTTTTAAGTACCAGGTTGACATATTATATCTTTTTATCTTGGATCAACTTTTTTATAGCCTGCTGTCGCAAAAGAGTGCTTCTACATCGGTTGAGGGTTTGGCATGGGACAACAATCTTTTCTTTTATTAATCTGTTTTTTTCTTCTTTTTCTAAAAAAAACTGTTTGCTATAAAGATAAACAAAACTATTAAGCATATGCAACAAAATGAAGAAACATTGTTAATGCTCCTTTCATTGGTTTTGATTAAAACCAAAATCTATTTATCAACTTTTAACTGATTTTAGTATTGAAATTTTCCTTAATTTTAGTATAAAAATATTGTTTTATTATTCCTAATTAATCTTAAAAGTTTTTTTTTTAATGAAGTAGTATTTTAAAAAAATGTTTTTTTGATAATTACTTTAAAAAATAAAATTTTTCACCTTTAAAATGTTTCAGAAAATGGACGTAAAAAATCTGTTACAGCAACAATAGGATTACTTGTGCATGCAGCTGGTTAGTATTATTGCTGGTTGTGATAGATTATTATTTATTGTAATTTTTATTTTGTTTTGTAAAGTTTTGTAAATTTGTAAATCTTTTTTTCTTTTCTTTTTTTAGCTGATGGAATTGCATTAGGAGCAGCTGCATCTACTGCACGAGCTGATGTTGAAATGATTGTTTTTATTGCTATCATGCTTCATAAAGTAAACTTTATTTATCTCAATGATGCAATAAATTGTAAACTGTTTAAGTTAAATTTGTGTTTTTAATTAAACATTTGTGTTTGTTTAATATGTTTTTTTGTTTTCTTAGGGTCCTGCAGCATTTGGATTAACTTCTTTTTTACTTCATGAGGTAAGTTAGTGCAAATTATTTTATTTGTTAAATGCATATTCACTTATAACAACGGTGTGACAAGTGGTATTGACTTTTTGAAATGATTGACAAATATAAAAGAAGATTTTCAGAGAATTTTGAACTTTTAAGCAGGTGAAAGTACCTATAATTACAGTTCAAAACCACTATAAAATATGAAACTTAACTGGATGACAAGCTTTTAAGTAGACCTTTTATCAGATAGAATCACTAATCACACTAATAATTCATCACAAACAACACCTGTTGTGTTTTTTGTAAACCTTAACACCTGTTGTGTTTTTTGTAAAAGATTTTGTAAAAGTGTAACACAGCTCTATCAACAGAGCTTAAACTTGGTCAAATGATTAAAAATAAATTTTTTATTGTGCAGTAGATGGGTGTGGTGAGATAACAGCAATTGCTCAACATATTGGATCATATAGAGACTTCTATGATTTTTCTGTTTTTAGCTCTTTTTTTATATGGTGCATCAAGATATTATTTAATAATTGAAATTATTAAACCTTTTCTTCCAGTTACAGTAAATGCAATCTTTAACATTTTTCAATTTTTTCTTTTTTTTCCATTTAGTTGCTTTAGGGGTACTTTACCTTTAGGGGTATCTTTTTTACCTTCGGGTACATTTTTAAATTTCTTTATACTCATAAAGAAATTTAAAAATGTACCCGAAGGTAAAAAAGATACCCCTAAAGGTAAAGTACCCCTAAAGCAACTAAATGAAAAAAAAAAGAAAAAGTTGAAAAATGTTAAAGATTGCATTTAGTTTGACTGGAAGAAAAGGTTTAACAATTTAAATTATTAAATAATATCTTGATGCACCATATAAAAAAAGAGCTTATGATAAAAACAGAAAAATCATAGAAGTCTCTATATGATCCAATATGTTGAGCAATTGCTGTTATCTCACCACACCCATCTACTGCACAATAAAAAATCTCCATATTTAAAGATAAGAATCAAAGGAAACAAGAAAAAATACAGCAAAATTATATAAATCACTGAAGATAACAGCAAAACTAAAAATTACAGCAAAAAGACTGAACATTACAGCAAAGTTTTTATATACATATTATTGCTCTTTCAATTGTATTTTAAAAAGTTTCTTTTTTATTTTAGGGGCTTGAAAGAAGTCGTATAAGGCGTCATTTATTAGCATTTTCTCTCTCAGCTCCAATATCTGCTGTAGTTACATATTATGGACTTAGTCAGGTATTTATGCAGAGTTTCACACAATATTTCAGGTGTTATAAACCAGTTCATAACATCTGGTTAAACCACAATTACAATATATATATATATATATATATATATATATATATATATATATATATATATATATATATATATATATATATATATATATATATATATATATATATATATATATATATATATATGTATATATATATATATATATATATATATATATATATATATATATATATATATATATATATATATATATATATATCAATATATATATATCAATATATTATACATATTATATATATTATATATATATATTGTATATATTATATATATATTATATATATATATATATTATATATTATATATATTATATATATATATACATTTATATATATTATATAATATATGTATTATATATATATATATATAATATATATAAAATATTATATATATATATATATATATATATATATATATATATATTATATATACTATATATATATATATATTATATATATATATATATATTATATATATTATATAATATGTATATATAAATAAAGTTTATATTATAAATAATATAATCTTTATATAATATATATATATACAAAGACGAAAACAAAAATAACAACTTGCAGTGTTGCGAGGCCAACCAACTTGTGCACTGTCACTTCTTTTTGAATTAAGACTTCTGATTTGTTGAAATCTTTATCATTTGACCAGTGGTTAGATGCACAATGAGCAGCTCCATCGATAGGCATTAAAATGTAAAAACTGCCGATATTCGACTTCAGCGGTGTTATAAGTTAAGAGACAATATATGTATATATATATATATATATATATATATATTATTATATATATATTATTATATATATATATATATATATATATAGATATATATATATAGATATATATATATATATATATATATATATTGTAATTCAATATAATTTTTATATTATGTTTTATATATGTATGTGCTTGACATTCGTATCACTCCAGCTTCTGTATCTAAAGTGATTTCCTGCTTAGACTCTTCTACAGCTTGTGGCCCGGACAACATACCTGTTATATTCTTGCAGAAGTGTTCTCTGGAGCTATCGTCTTTCCTTTCAAAACTATTCAACAAGTGCTTATCAGAGTCTTGTTTTCCATCCTGCTAGAAAGCAGCATCTGTTATCCCTATTTTTATAAAATCTGGAGAGCGATTTGATTCATCTAACTACCGATTAGTCTTCATCTAACTACCCATTAGTCTTCATTTAACTACCCATTAGTCTTCTTCCTATCATAAGCAAAGTTTTTGAATCTTTAATTAACAAACACTTAATCTCTTATCTTGAATCTAATAACTTACTTTCTAATCATCAATAAGGATTTCGATCTTCTCGTTCTATGGCTGATTTGCTAACAGTAATAAGCGATAGGTTTTATCGTGCATTAGATAAAGGTGGAGAGGTTAAGGCCATCGCTCTTGACATTTCTAAAGCGTTTGATAAAACTTGGCATGCTGGTCTTCTCCATAAGCTTTCTTCTAACAGTGTATCTGGAAGCATCTTTAAGAATATTGAATCATTTTTTTCCAATTGTAGTATAAAAGTTGTCCTTGATGGACAGCACTCTTCTTCTTATTCTGTAACCTCAAGGGTTCCTCAAGGTTTAATCCTTGGCCCTATATTCTTTTTAATTTACATTAACGATCTTCCAGATATTCTCACGTCTAAGGTGGCATTGTTCGCTGATGATACTACCATTTATTCTTGTTACGATAAGAAGCCAACTCTCTCTGATTGCTTACATTTGAGCTTGAAAATGATCTCACTTCTGCTACAGCAAGGGACTCACAGTGGCTGGTAAATTTTAATTCAGATAAAACTCAATTTTTTTCAGCCAATCATTATCGCAATAATTTAGACCTTCCTATATTTATGAATGGTAATGTACTAGATGAGTCATCTACCCTTCATATTCTAGGACTACCTTTTACTTCTGATCTCTCTGGGAAACCATATATCAAATCCGTTGCAAAGTTAGCATCTGCTAAAGTTGCATCTCTTTATCAAGTTTGACACTTTCTTACTCTGGATTCTATTCTCTATCTCTATAAATCTCAAATCCGGCCTTGTATGGAATACTGTTGCCATATCTGGGGCGGATCTTCTTATTATGCCCTTGCTCTTTTAGACAAAGTGCAAAAACGCATTGTAAACGTAGTTAGACCTGCTCTTGCAGCCAACCTTCAACCATTATCACATCGTCGTAATGTTACTTCTCATTCTCTTTTCTACAAATACTATAATAGGCACTGCTCTAAAGAGCTAGCATCTCTTGTGACATCTACTAAAATTCACTCTCGTGTTACTCGTCATTTAACTCTCATCCTTTTTCTGTGACTGTTCCTAAGTGCTCCAAAAACTCTTATTCGTCTAGTTTTTTTCCTCGAACATCAGTTCATTAGAGTTTGCTTTCTTCTTCTTGCTTTCCTGATTCATATAATTTGCAATCTTTTAAATCGTCTGTCAATCGTTATCTTACTCTACAATCTTCATCTTTTCTCTTCCAGTAACTTCCAACACTAATTAGTGGTTGTTTGCAGCCTTGTTGGAAGCAAAGATATTTAAAAAATATTTATATAAATATTTTTTTAACATATTTGCTTGGGCGATGTGGAGTAAATGAGTACTGACTAGGATCAGAAACAAGACATAAGTCGAGTAGAGAAGGTAAATGATTTGGGTTGTCTGGAAAGCAAGATGGAAATTTGACTATTTGAGTTAGGGATTGAGAAAGGCAAAATTCAACATCCTAAACTGGAAACAATTTTATAAAAATACATCTGTGCCAGCCTAATAGATGAATAAGGGGTGGGAGGCTGGTCAACAGATAGAATCTGTTTACCCCTTAAGTCTTTGCCTAGGAGGCCTTTTACAAGACAACAGCCGTAAGCATTTAACACATGCCCAAGATGAGTATTTTTATTGAGACACCATTTCTAGCCTTTTCTCAACTAAGAGCCCCAAGGCAGAGGGTATTTTATGTCGGAGTTTGCATCTCCTAGCCTTTTTATATATTATATAAAATTATATATCTATATATATACATATATATATATATATATATATATATATATATATATATATATATATATATATATATATATATGCTTGATTTTAAGTCTTTATATGACCACGCTGACGTTTTTAAATTAGCAAAACGCTTTTAAATTAAAGTATCATTGGAAGTTATATTATTTTATATTATTATTAAGTTATATTATTAAATAAGATTTTTTTATAAGTTAAAATTAAAAAAGTAAAATTTAAAAAGGAAAAAAAATTAAATTTTATAAGCAACAACTTTAAAGAGCGAATGTCTCTTTAATAAAATTTATATAAGAATCAGTAAAGTTTTTGTTGAGAAGAAAAAAAATAAACTTTTTTTGAAAACTGTGTGAATTGAATAACTTTCATCTTTACTTACGTTTTTATAACGCATTTAAGTAAAGTAGCACTTTTTTTTTTTTTTTTTTGTAAATTCACCTCCTCAAGGCCGAGAAGGCCACTACAGACGAGGAGGCTACTTATTTGTGGTTATAACCCTTTCTTAACTCTATAACTCCAAAACACGAGCCTTGACGAACAAGGCCGCTGTGCAGAGAAACGAGTTGAGCGCGGTACTACCAGGGATGTGGTGGGGATCGAACTTGGAATCTCTCGCTTATGAAGCAAGAGCTCTACCACTACACCACTACTGCTTTTAAATAAAGTAACATAATAATTAATGATTTTTTATAAAAACATTAATGAATATTTTTTTTTAATATTTGTATAAGTATTTATTTTTTATTATAACGTTTTTAAAAAAGAAAAAAATTATGTCAATTTTTTAAATAAACAATTTAATTATTTTTTCTTTTGTGCAAAGAATTGTTAAGAATAACTTTTTAAATGTGTGCATTTATTAAACAATTGTCGGTTGTAAGTTGTTACTTTATTTAAAAAGGGTTTCATATAATATTATATTACGAAAACATAAGTAAAGATAATCTTATCGTTATAGTTTTAGTTTTATTTTAGCTATTTTATTTTAGTTTAGTTATTTTAATTTTGTTTTTTGTTATTTTTTTTACAAAGATTTATTTTCTTCTTTAATGATATGTTTTTTTTTTTAAGTTTTTTTATAGTTAAGTTAAGATTTGATTTTTTAGCGTGTTTTTAAAACACATACAAATTTTTGAAACATTTTAACAGCCGTGGTCAAGTTAAGTAAAATCATATAGTATTTTCGTGGTCATATTATGACATAAAATCGCATGCCTTTCCGGCCAAACATATATATAAAATATATATATATATATAAAATATATATATATATATATATATAAATATATATATATATATATATATATATATATATATATATATATATATATATATGTATATATATATATATATATATTAGGGTGGGTCATAAAATTTTTTTTAGAGTTGCTAACCTGGCTTTGGTCTGGAAAGTTGTTTTTTTATGTACTAATTTAGGAAAGTATTTACTTTTATGGATTGAACAATGTCTTCCACCCGCAACAATAATTACAAAAATTAGCAGGCCCTATTATTATTCAAAAAAAAAGTTTTTCAAAATTATGTGATGTAGGTACTCAAATAAAGCGATTCAATTCAAAAATGATAATTTTTTCATATAAAAATTATTATTTTAGATTTTATTGCATAATAACTATAGTTTTTTAACTAAAAGTGAAAAAGGTGCATTTTTACATGTTATTTAATAACAATTTTTTTTGGCAATATGATTTTTTAATAAAACGATTAATATTTTCAAATTTTTTATAAAATTTTGCTTCTTTTGAGTACCAGGTTGACCTACTTTTGAAAAACTTTTTTTCTCCAAAATATTAGGGTATCGGTAATTTTCCCAATAAAATTGCGCCCTTTAAATCTATCACAATCATTCTCATATTTGATAGTATCAATATTAAT